CACGTTCATAATCGCGCGATTTTTTGCGCAGCTTGTCAGTGAACAACGGCTCTGTGTAGTAAATGCTGCTCCGTGTGAAAGCCCGCACGTGATGGAGATTTACCCCTGATTACAGAAGCGGCTTTACTGACAAGATGCGCATTAAATAATTGCATGCGATTTAAAGTGACGTGACATGTGGCCAAGTATGGTGACCCATACTTGGATTTAGTGCTCTGCATTTAACCCATCCAAAGTGCACACACAGCAGTGAACACAATGCATGTGTGTATGATGAAACATACATTAATTATAGATCGATACATATACTAAAGGGGTCATATGATGCGATTTAAATTTTTCCTTTCTCTTTGGAGTGTTACAAGCTCTTGGTGCATAAAGAAGATCTGTAAAGTTGCAAAGACTAAAGTCTCAAATCCAAAGAGATATTCTTTATAAAAGTTAAGAGGAGAAACAATAATGTACAGTATGTGGAAAATAGTGTTTTTTTTTTTTACTTTAAACCGCATAAACATTTCATTACACCAAATACACAAAATAATGTTCTTTTTAGCAGCATCATATGACCCCTTTAAGACCAACCAGAGTGTGATTTTTGCATAGGTGTGCTTTCAGCTGTTCCTATATTTTTTCTTATATTTAGAATAAATTTTAGTACAAAAGTTAGTGAATTATAATTTGTTTGTGAAAACGTTCATACGTAGGTTTCATGCACAAATTTGTGAGATTTTTGTCAGAATTTGTGTGTTTCTGCTTCTGTTTTTAAAGCGGACATCGGATGCAAATTTTACTTTTACATGGAGCTTGCATAAAATGTGTCTTCGCAGTGTGTGGACAAAACTACCTAGATAAAAATCCATTCACTGTCATTTTTTAACTTGTTAATTTTTGGGGGTGATTAAAAAAAGTAAAGTACCCATTGTTCGTTATGCCCAGTTCAGACTACACGATTTTAGCCCGATTTTGCCACGATTTGCTTGACGTAGGGTGTCGTGGGGATTCATAAACGACAATGGGCGTCAGGACCCAAGATTGCATCGTTTCAGCTCATGTAGTGTGTCAATGCGGACGACAACCGATTCCGTGTCTGCGATGTTTCACGACATCACGACAGAAAATTACTTTTTTTTTCCCGTCGTCCACGACGAGTTCTGTCACATTGGTGACGTTGACCAATAGAAGTGCTTCAGCAATGTTTACACTCTTGTTTTCGGAAGTCAGACGCTAGTTCCGCCTTCTCGGTGACATGAATGGTCGGTAAGCAACGTGTAGTCTGACATGTTTCTTGTCCATGACGTGACAAAATTTTAGGAGTCAAAATCGTGTAATCTGACACTGACTATCGTGACCGACAAAAATACTGTGTAGTCTGAACCCGGCATTATCCAGCTGTACCTCCAGAAGAAGTAAGAGCACTTTCACACTAGCACGTTTGGTGCATGCATAACTCGTGCAATGATATTTAACGTGGCGTGATAAGCAGGCACACTTTTCTTAATGTCATAGCATTTTATTTAAAAAATGGATTGGTTCCTTGTGCCAAGATTTTTTCTAGTCAACTAGTCGCACGTTTATATTAAATTTATTAATATAATAACCTAAACCAGGGTTGTCAAACTCAGTTCCTAGAGGGCCACAGCCCTGCAGAGTTTAGATTCAACCCTAATTAAAAATAATATATAGTAAGCCTGAAGGAGTTGATTATCTGGATCAAGTATATGTTAGGGACGTACCGATACCGATACTGAGCTCCTGTACTCGTACTCGTTAAAATGCCCCAATACCACACAGCATGTGATAAGCGCCATATTCAGACAAAGAAACACCGACAATAGAACAACAAACAGCCGAAAGGAGTTAAGGATGTCTACTACGAAGTATGTATGCAATGAATATAATGTTAAACATTCAGTATTAACGCCTGTATAGCTGATGTGCGTGAGCTGATAAACAAAGCACGCTGAGTGGATTGAGCACGCGGCGGCGCAGATGCACGAGCTTGTCGAGTGAATATATCTTTCTCACAGACATCACTGGAAAGTTTGTAGTTCGGTCGGATATGTCAAAAACAAGTAAGTAAAACAATGCACAAGTTACTTAACGGTAGGGAGAGAGCGAGAGAGAGACAGAGAGAGAGAGCGAGAGAGAGCACGCGCGCACTTCTGTTGTGTGATCTTTGATGTTCACTCACTTAGCACACGCATCATTTGGATTAAAACTATACGTCAAAAATAAAACAATGCACAAGTTACTTAACGGTAGGGGTAGGGAGAGAGAGAGAGAGAGAGCGCACTTCTGTTGTGTAATCTTTGTTCACTCACTGAGCACATGCATCATTTGGATTAAAACTAAATCGCAAAAATAAAACCATTCATAGGGGCATTCACTATAAACATCATTTATTTTCAACCTTAGGCATACACGACTTTCTGGCGAAAGTGAATCTAGCAGCCTGTGTGAAATGCGCTAGGCTGTACTACTGTCCTCTCATTCTGCATCAGTACAAATACGTGCACGCG